AAAACCATTTATTTGTGGAAGGTCTCACCTTTTATACATACTCGATGTTAAACGAAGGTCTCCCTCGCATTATTGAAATTGGCTACATTCCAAACTGTGCAATAAATATGATGCGTATATTGAATTCTCATAATGCTCTAATTAAAGCCATTTGACAAAAAATATAGATTTATAGATAATTCCTAAATAGAAAATAATACCGTGTGGTATCGCGATGATCAAGTTTGCATTCGAGTAAATATTTCCAGATTTAGGAAGGTATGCCAAACAATAACGCAAAGTACGGTTTGCGAGAAAGTTTCTGCTGTGCTAACAAAAGTTTGCGTGTTTGCTGAAAACACGGGTGATAAATTACGCGTTGATGATCGCAACGATCGATAAAAGATCAGGAATACATGAAAGATGGTTCGGTTGTCTTTCCAACGCGATCAATAATCTTTCCGCTTGTATAAATAGCAGCTATTGATTTTCCACTTTGTAACATATTCTTCGTTTGTCTTCTCTCATCGGATCACCTGCCTTCAATATTTCAGAACGAGCACTGCGAAAACGAATAGCTCGCTTCTTTATTGGTCTTCGTGATAATATATCGATAAGAGAAGTTTGATCCAAGAATGAAATTAACAAACGTGTAGTGAACGTAAAGATACTGCACTGGGACATATAAATTTAATTACTATTAAATTCGCGACTATCGCGAAGGAGTTGCATTGATGAAATCGTTAAAGCTCTCGATATTCTTAAAGTCCTTTTAGTCTGTAATCACAAATATTTAATGTAATTTCTTGTATTTTTATAAAAAGATCACAATCTCGTCCCTTGAACGCGCGGAAAGCAAATTAAAGAATGACAAAGCATTCCGAGAAATTTAATCCTTCCTCGAATCGCACAGCTAGTTGTATTAAATGCATTCTGATAGTATCTATAGCGCATCGTAAATCTGCATTTCAGTGTTGGACGTTCGTTACCGGTGAATTTATTACACCAAGCACAATAAAGCATTCTCGGCGTGTGTTTCCTAGCTGTTGTTCTATTTTATACCGACACCCTCTTAAATTTACGTTTGACCCTGCGGTATATAATGTGGAGAACTTTAGAACACGGCATGCATGTCGTTGAAAAACCATACGATTCTAATTTCAGAAAATTGCGGGGTTACGCGTCTAACTTCACAATGTCACGGTATAAACCAGCACGAAGTTTTAAGACGACTTTTTTCTTTCTACCCTTGAGTGTTTTCACACGAGGAAATTGCAGTAACGAGTTCAACTCGCTTTTGTACCAATGCGTACAATACATGTAATGTCTATTCTCTAAACTTTCGAAGTAAAACGAAAAAAACAGAAGAGCAAGTTATAATGTAAATTACAGTGCTATACAATTTGCAAATAAATTGTCACATTGTTCAGTCGATAAAAGTATATTTTTGGATAATCCTTTTTTACTCCGTCTATTTCTCAAATCTATTATTATTTATGAGATTCGCGCCGTGGTAAAAGCCTCTGTTTTTCGATCACGAAAAATCGAGGAGGCGAACGATGATATTTCAAGATAATTCGCTGATCCAGAAATTACTGTCGCAAGGGAGTCAAAGCGTAATGGAGGGTCGAGGAAAGTCAGAGGTGACTCCACAAACCACACCAAAGGACCTTTTCCGAACGAATCTTTAGTGAACCATAAATAATTCGCAGGAAAATCGTGCTTCTTTCAACTTCACCTGGAAAACTTTCTTATTTCATTGCAAAGTGCTCGGATAAATATTTGAGTTTGTTAAAACTGCAGTGAGCAGCAGTCGCCTCTTTGTGGTCCTTCCAACATTAATTACTGTAGAAACGGAAAGTGCGTCGTGTTGTCGTTTACATTATCTCTCTAAATGTATCGTTTAAATTATTGTTCAAATTATAATATCGAAATCAAGTAGCGAGTTTTCTATTGTTTGTTGAAAATCAATATGAGAAATACATTTTCGGCTGACTGCGCTCTCGTTCATGCTTGAAAAAAATGTCCTTTCTCTCACATACAATCTTTCGGTCGGTCGCGCGCTGTATCTCACTTTCCGTTCTCGCATCGACATGTCGATTGAAAAGTATTCAGCCATCGCACCGCGCAGCGTCATAGAAAACTCATTGTTGACTCGTGTTCCTTCTCACTGTGCACAATCGGATATTCTCGGCGTGGACAACCATTCGATTTTTGCACCACGTCGAAAAAAAAAGGGGAAAAAAATGAGAAAAATACGACAACCGACCGCGGAGCGTATAATCGTCTCGATAATCCCGTTGAGACGGTTGATGTCTCAAAGCTTTGTGCCCGGCGAAGATGTGAAGTAGATAAAAACCGTCTTCTTTGTCGTCTTACGTTAGAGCTTACAAGTAGCAAAGACAAATATTATATAGATAATAAATCTTTTTGTAGTGGCGCAACTTTTCCTCGAGGTGAATACATTTCATCCCTTTAAGAAAGTTGTCGGATTTAAGAGTCAGCAATTACTTTTGTATGCATTGTCATCTCACGACGTCGTAAAGTCCATTTTTATGTACTACGCTGTGTGTGTGTGTGTGTGTGTGTGTGCACGTGTGCAAGCCTTTTGTATAAATGTGTGCACAAGTCTCATAAGTTAAAGAGATCTAGGCGTTCCCTATGGTTTTCCAAGGACGCGCCATTCTCCTCATCTTCATCGTTTTTCGATGACGCGCGCGACCAATTAGATTTCTCCGCCTTTTTCCGCCGGCTTTATTCTATCCTGAGGGTGAAACGTTTCGTTTTTTCCTATCGGTGAGACCACGATTTCTCTGAAGTTTCACTTTGTTCGTTACTTCTTCGTTAAATGGGATGATCTAATTCCGCACTGCTCTAGAGCAACTCCCTCGTAAACCTTGCCGGCATACCAGTTTCTTTTACCTCCGGCGAGGAAATGAGGAAATAAAAAAGCTTTGGCAAACGTAAAATGCATAATGTCATTTCCATTTTTATGCGACTTTTTCATCGATCATCATCATCATCGATAAGTTAACTTGTTTTGCTAGTTTCTTTTAATATATTAAACCACTACTTATTTCAAAAACACAAAAATTGAATTATTCAATTGCAGAACCTCAATGCTCCACTTTATCAAGCGATAAACTTTACTTTAAAATGCAAATCACACGTCGATCACGTATTCGAAGCATTAAAAAACTTTATTGTCAAATGTCCGAAAAATATTTGCCACATTTCGTGTATGATTTTTACTTTGCTAAAAAATCGTGACAACCTTCGATATATTTTAAATATTGCTGCTACGTTTGTTAAAAAGTTCGGAGATTCAACCTCAGTTAAGTCGGGTTTTCAAACTGCGATGGGTGTATCGCTACCATGGGAGCAATTGTAATTCCTGTGAACTCTTTTATATCTCTCGTAATTCCCGCGATACCTGTATATTTTAAGACGAGCTCACGCATGCAAACCGTATAAACGTTTCGCTTTAATTTTACATGGACTGGAATGATTAAAAAAATTACAAACTTTTTTGTATAATGGTTCCCATTAAAGATCCCATTAAAAGTCGCTAGAATCATAAAAAAATTACAAACTTTTCATATAACGATTCCAATTAAACACCTTCCATCATTAACGTGGTATTTATAAAGAAGTTTAAAATCGATAATTATACCTAATCGCGTCCGTCGCGTATTTACAAAGTATTTTAAAGAAAACTGTCAGACTCCTCTCTTGAAAAAAGAAGTAAAGAATCTAAAGCGATTAGAAAAATTAAATAATGGACGTGAAGAAGTTCGACGAAAAGTACACCTCGAAGCAAGTTACTGCAATCAAGAACTCTCTCTGTGAAACGTGTCACTGCAGATACAGAACACGCTCGTACGTACTTTTAGCTGAACGAACTCCGGGAGACTTCGTTAGGATATATCAGTATTTGTCTTTGCTCGTCTCGCAAAGGCCAATGTCTCTGACAAGATGTCGTACAAGAGACATTTCTAGTTCGCGGCGCTGCGAACTATTGTCTGATTCGACGCCTCTGATTCTGCACGCGATAAGTCGAAACGTGCAAAATAAAGCAAAAAATATAAAATGCGTAATAATTCCAAGAACAATTAGATTGTCACATTACGATTGTTGAAGCATTCGATTTATCCTTTCACAAATGTTTAGCTTCCATAACTTATTCATGGGTAGCAAAACATTTCCTTTTTCGTACAAACAAAACGCGAGTGTCTCGAGTCAGCCGAGTCTCGAGATCTTCTATCTTAGAGATTAGAAAATTCTTGAAAAATATTTCTACGGAGGCAATCCACTGAGATATTGGTTCTTGGCTTTACGCAGCATGCAGCTTGCTCGAGGGCACAAAGTCGTATGAGAAGTAAATTTCCGGAGAGGCATAATTCAAGTGCTGCGCTGCGACAACATCTTGTCAAAAAATTGCCATTCTCCGTAAGAAACAAAATATATTAAAAAAAATACAACCTACAACTTTTTTATTATATAATATAAACAGCCGCTCGCCGTATTAAACTTTTTTACGCTTACCAAAAATTAAAAACACGCGTTTATTTTCGGAATAACTTGCAGCTCGCGGAAGAGATTAATTGCGCCCCTAAAATTCGGGGGCGCACGCGAGCACTGCGTTAATTAGATCGACATTTTAGCACTTAGCGAGAATTAATGGCAAAAACTAGTTTCATTAATACGATAGGTTAATCGTGACGTATAACAGATTATTATTGATCTAATTTACGTCCGCCGAGATTACATCGCGTCAATCTAGCGATTTACGAAATTATAATATATGTTACACGTACGCGTTTATACACCATGAAAATGAAATGATCGCATCCGGCAATTATGCGCAGTTAGTTTACTCTAACGACAATTGATTTATATTATAGCGTTAGTTTACTAACACGGAGAATTGACGTGTAATAATATCAATTCTAACGCGCTTAAACTGCAATCGTGATGAATCACGATCGTCTCGTTGAAATGATCGTTTCGTTTCGTTGCAGCGCGCCTGTGCCAGAATGCAAACCCGAAAACAGATCAGCGCGGGGTCCTGGAGGACGTCCAGCCCCGCTCTTACGATCCCGAACTTTGCCAGCGATTGTCGCGCCTGGCCTCAGCATACTTCAAGCTCAAATCGAGGCTCGTTATGGTGAGTATTGGGAAACCTAAAATCATTTTCTTCTCTTTCTCTCGCGAATGTCTTATATCTTTCGTTACAAATATCGCCATTATCGTCGTTTAGATCCATTTCTTACAATGTTTCCTTTGCCTTTGCAACAGTCGTTGCCTGCAGCCTCTCCACTTCGCGTTTCAAGTACGCAGTTATCTCGAAATGCCCTTCTTTTATCTTTTCATTGCTGGTAATACGCTTTTGATGCGCGAATACGATATTACTTCTTACCGTTGTTCTCTTTCTTTCTCTCTCTCTCTGTCTATCGTATTGTTCTTTACTTACTGCCCTCTATCAACGCAGATGCGATAGCGCAGTAAACGAATGTGTGTAAAGAGTCTAGTAAAATAAATTAGATAACAATCATCACGTTGAAGCCATATGTAAATACGAGTATAGTTAAATTCTCTGCATGCTGTTGATGCATTATTTATCATTGTACGCTTATCTATTAGATTTGAAAGGCCGTAAGTAAGTTTCTTGATTTAATCTATGTGATCTTAAATCCGTACGAGAGTAGAGACGTTACTCGCCAAGAATACGCGAAAATGGCAACTCTCACATTTAATCATAGTCATCTTTCGCTCGCATTCAGCGGTAACAACGGGGATATCGGTCATTCCGCCCTCCATGGACAATACGGCTTGCGCGAAGCGCGGAAGCACAGCTTCCCATTGTACGAAGCTTCTTACGCCGAGAATATCCTTTACGGACGACACGATAGGTAAGGCACCGAGAATTTATTGAATAACTCGTAGAATGGACTCTTAGGTTTATGTTAGAGTTTTCAGCCTTCTTTTCAAAAACTGATGTTCTTATACGCTACCGTTATGTCTTCGCTGCTCACCTTCTCTTAAGCGCTTTTCTCAGCTTTGTAACTAATTTTTCTCTTTATGCATGCGACTCATTTAGATAATAGTCTAATAGTAGAATTGTCGATTTTTCAACCAAGTTCTTTTGTGACAGGAAATTAATTAGATCTCTAATAATATCACTGTAATATATCATCTCTCATTAATGTGTCATGCAGAATGCAAAGTCGTTTCAATGATAAAATGATTATTATTACTGTTATCGAGAGCTTCTGAATGTGCAAAACAAGAATAATATAATGTTTCAAACAGGCATATTTTCTTGAAAATTGATTAATCTTTCATTACTAACAATTCATTATTCAGTACAAGTATTCTTTTGGTTCTTGCACAATTTTTACATGTCCAACTTAGTGTAAACTCAAACACACCGTTTTTGTTTAGCATTTTTACGTTTTTGACGTTAGAATTGAATGTCTCGTCGTTTAAAACCACTTGTTCACGAGATCACTCGCGAAAGCGTAAAATAAATTTGGTTTCTCTTCTGAAAAAAAAAAAACACTTCTTAATTCTGCAAACCAAATTGTTCAATGTCGAGAAATTATATTGCAAATCTGCCGCTCTCCAGCGAGCAATGTTTACTTAATATGCTGGAATAGTCGATATAAAGTGATGAGGACGGAGGTCTTTCGCCGGTATTAAACTCCCGTGGCGACCGAGAAACCGTTGATTGCATGTTTGCGATTCTTCATATTGGTCCTCCTCTGTGACAGAGCGCCGCGTTTCCGACTCCGGTCCGGTGGGCAGAGAACTCTCCAAGGAGCACTCGGCGAGAAGCGGCAGGCTGAGCACCTCCAGCATCGGCGGCTCGCAGCCTCTCAACCGGCTCGCGCGGCTCTTGAACCAACGGCCCAGCTTCACGCCGAGTGATGAAATTCCACGACGGCTCTCATGGGAGAGGTATGTCGCCGAAACGAACCGTGCGCTCCTCCCAGCAATACGCCGTGTTTTCACTTATGCGAAAATCAAGTCGTCTTGCATTCCTCGCAATCGGCGACCCGACCTAACGCGACCCGGCATCGTAAAAGCGGAATAACTTCGTACTCCGGCGAGCGAAATATTTCTTGCACGCGGGATCCGGTCGCTGTGTGAAAAAAATTTGGATCGGAAGGTAGTCCGCAAGGATCGCCGTGAAGGATCGTCGAGCCATCGACGCAGAGAGATATCAGAATCAATAGAATACGAAATTAGACGGGGAAACCGATAGATACAAACGTTAGCGCGGCGAAACTGCTTAATCATTGCACTCGGCACATTTGCTTTGCAAAGTGTTCCCCGACTGGACTGGAACTGAACTTTGGATTTGCCCTTCGAATCGGTCGGATGAAATCGCTGGGGGACTCGCCGTTCGATTCTTCATCGGAACTACGCCGGCGGGCGGGAAACAACCGCATTATTTTTTTTTATAAGCTTCTAACCTAGAAATTCGCGAAACATGTTACGGCCGACCTTTAGAGATCTTCTCGATGTCCGCTATGTTCACTTTATCACGCCGTCTTCATCCAATATTGATCCACTCCGTTAAGACGCTCTTATTTTTTACGTGACTTGCGATGTAATCGAACATTATTCTGCGCGGCTGAAAAAAATATTACCCGGGACACATCGCGCGAGTGAACAATGCGCGCGAATCGCGTGCGGTGAACTTTTTCGGAAAAAATTGCGATACTTTCGGACACAGTCGTGGTTTCCACAAAATATCGTTCGTTATTGTCTTCTCCGGCGAAGAGATAGCGCAAACATCGAGTTTCCCGTTGACGCTGACGAGCGGAGCGTGGATCAATTTTCTAATTCGCGATAGCATTGTGAATGTGTGTTCATTGATCGTGTCGATGAATAGCACTTTGATAAATCCCCTACACGGTTTGCCCGTTGTATAGGCCGTTCCACGTAAAGTGGAAAGCAATTTTGCTGAATACGTTCCTATTTCGAAAACACAAATCCAATTTCCAGGACGGAGTGCTGATTGTTCCAGAGATACCGTCGTCGGGACGTTTGGCGAAAGGCCGCGTTTTCGGCAGGATCCGCGTTATTATTATGCGCGAGAGTGTCTTGACTTACGAAAATTGGCCCCGGGATTAAAATACGAATGTCACGAAGTTATTGCGCGGAGTGGCGGTTTCAGCTGCGTTCGCGAGGGTGAGTCAAGGCCGAGGATTTCAGCCGCTCACAATGGAAGTAATAAGCTTCATTTAATTCCACGCTTGTCTTCCGACAGAAAGAAGATTCTCGCTGTGGAATTAAGCACAATTGACCTAAGCTATCTCGTTATCGTTTCTTATAGTATCTTATCTCTTATCGTCGACGCTACTCGCCCAACTTCGATCTCTCTTTCAAGTATAAATTCTTATCTCAAATTAAACACGAGAGCGATTATTTTACGAAGATTGTTCGACTCACGTCGCGAATTTGATTGAGAACTTTTCGCCTGCAGATTTTTCAAAGTATCAACTTCATCGATGCAAACGTGGTTTAATCTCTGTTATTTATATTAATTTACACTTTACGTTTATATTTATTTGCTGCTCGCGCAATAGCGCAAAACACTTTAATGTTATAATCGAGGCTGAGTGGTGGAGTAAAGTTGGTGTTAGATGAAAAGATACAACGACATTGAAACTTGGGTGTACGGCGTACATGGGATATTCTACTCCGAGTCATCTGGGACGTCTTCATTAGACTATAAACGCGTATGTGCCCTCGGCGATATTAAATTACCGTCACCTCGATGGTGGCAGCTCGACGAGGAAACGCTTAAAACGGGGAAAAGCACCCTGGGCGTGCATCGATAATTTGCGCGAACCGCACCCACGAAAATGCATCGATCTTTGCCACGTAACGCTTCGCACGATCGCAATTTGGCGCGCACACTTTTTCAACCGTGCATCGCAAACCTTTGAAATGTGATAAAATATACGTAGAAAAAAACACACACACACACGCAATCAAAATTGCTATAAATCTCGACAGGATCTTTAATTTGTTAAAGGCTGGGCGCAAGTCCTATCAGAAAGAAGATCTGATATATGATAAGTACTTTTTTGCCACAATCCCCCATTAGAGATACAATCAGATAATATTAATTGGCAGGCGAGATTATAGCACGACGAGCTCCTGCCTACCAAGGAGCAATTCGATCGATAGCATGGCGGAATGGGGGTTGACAGGAGGAATAGGAACTGTCAGCGGAAACAACAGCGTGAGTGCTGGCAGCAGTTATGGCCTATTTGTCGAACCACCACCCAGAAGAAGTCCAAGCCCATTGTTGGGAGCGAGAGGCGACAGACTGAGCATAGTGTCACCCAATATTGGCAGAAGAGTGAAAGGACATAGAGCAGTTGTAGGTAAGTCATTGTGTCACACACACATATATATACACACACACACTGATCATTATTTTAATTCGTCGCCGAAAAAAAACTTAATTTTCGGTAACTTTTTGCGTTTAAGATAAATATCCCTCTTCTTCTCGCCTTAAAGTGTAAATTGCTATATTTAAAGTTTCTAATTAAAGCTGCGAGCAAAGATTAATAGGAAGGTTAATTAATGAATTGGATGGCAGCGTCTAATCAAAAGAGAACTGCTGGCAGCCGGCGCAATTTTCTGTAAATTATTAAGCAGGAGCGCGATTTTATGACAGAACTGCAACGTCGGGAATTAAGTTAGTAAGAGAGATCGCTCGAGCATAATATACGAAATATCCGCTCGATATATCTGCCTCTTAGAATGTACTTAAATGTACCTTAGTAAGATCTACTAAGAGAGATTCTCCTCTTTATTCGAACAAGCAGTAAATAAATTTATTTGCGAGGAACGACTCGAGAAGTATTAATGCCGTGCTGCTGCGCGCGATAACTATGTCCTGAAAATCGAGTCCTATCGAAGTGAAATAATTACGTTTATAATTACAATATACGTGAAACATATTTCTTTGAGTTCTACTGAATCTTTAATGGTGAACCTTGGCTTTACTCCATTAAGCCGAACAAGTTCCACCATACTGAGTTACGCGAGACCCGTTCCAGCAGATTTGAATGATTGATTAATCTATATCCGCGCGGAGTTTACAACTTTCGTGGCTAATCGAGTTCAAGCGGTTACGAATCTTCATCGCTTGTAATTTAATACATGACCAAAGTTGCAACTTCCCGATAATCGTGCGTAATAACGCCGGCTAACAGCAAAAGTTGTAAGTCTCCATTAGATATCCACCGGCTGAATGCAGTTTCATCATGCATCAGTTTAGCGCACATTCGCTGCAATTAATATTTCGTATTTCTATATTTATTTTATGTACAAAGCTAATATGTAGTTTTGCTAATACGTACATCGCGGCAACCAAAATATCTTAACATAAACAATTCAAAGTGCGCGCATGTCTAAGTATTTAAGTGTCGTTACTGTTAATCGAAAATCCCAGACTATTTTATTGACTGATTCATTTATTGTATAAGCTATTATATAAAATTTATTTTTTTCATCATTTAAAAATGCTGTGAAATACTTAGAAATGTAAAGAGTAAGTCTTCGACATGACGTGGGAATATCTAGACATGACGTGCACACTGTGCATTACTAAATTGATGCAACTTTATGTGTTCACCGGTGTACGTATGAATAATCCGAGAATATACTCTATGAAATACGAGCGAAGGTTTAAAATACATATAAAATGAAAAACTTTATGACATATCGTCTACGAGACAAGGTATGTTTTATGATGCTGCAAATGTTACTTTTTTAATACTTATCCATAAAAGTGACTGCAATATAGATTAAATTTCCTTTAGCAGTTGCCGCGTGAAAGAAACTTGACCCGTTTAAAAGTCTTTACTTGCAAACTTTACAAAGTTTTAGAGGTGAATTTTGATTTTCCTTTTCATCTTTATTATTAGTGATAGTAAGCTCGCAAAATATAGCACTCGTGCAAACTTTGCGTCGAATAATTGAAATAAATGTCAATATTACGAGAAAAAGTCGTAAACGCGAGCGTAAGAACGTGTTTTCTTTCCGCACAATGATTCCGCCAAATATTCAATCTTTCCCCTTTTTTTGGAGAATAATACTAACGCTTTAACGAGACAAGTTCGTTTGTAACTTTATTGTTCATGATAAAATGCTTCTCAAAAACATTCCACTCGAGGGATAAACTCGCGATAGAAAGTTTTGAGCCATTGGGGACCACGGCGGCTTAAAGTTAAATTGCAGGAACGGCATTGTTCGGGATTCTGAATGCTCATTCGACTGATAACGTCTGTCATATTCGTAATTGCTGAATTAATCCCTAATTTTATCGTTTTTAATATATTTTTTTCATAAATTACATCGAAAGAGGAATAAGATAGAAAATCTTACGTTCGCGATAGAATATCTGCAATCTTTCATTATTAAACATTTCAATATAAGTCATTTATATGGTATCTTTATGACTAAATTATAACTTTTAATTGCAATAAAACGGGATCCCACAATACGTGGCAAGATTTAAAAATGAAAAAAACATCTGATTTTGTAGAACAATTATTGCCGTCGACTTTTCGATCACAATATTAATACAAATCAGAACGGTAGAAGATTGTCCCCGTCTTCTACCGTTTTTTGAGACTTAAAGCATAGTAAATAATGTGTGTGTAAGGAAAAAATCTAAAATAATCGGTAATCGGTTTCAGCGAAGTGACACTCGAAAGTACAATATTCGATAGAGTTGGCACAGCCTGCGGAGTGATGTTTCCGAGCGCAGCTTTGTACGCGCGACGCTCGCCTGCGCCTGAAAGTGACGAAACCAGAACCTTAGGCGAGGTTCTGTACCTGTCTGGACAGGTAACTTCTCAGCCAATCGTCTCTTGCGTTTTGTCTACGTCCTTCCGATGAAAGAAGGCGAATGGGCGTCGTGCGAGTGGCACGTCTGAGCGACCTGCACAGTTTGCGGCGATCGCATCCGCGAGTTCCCACCGAGATAGATTGACGACGGTGAACAAAGAACCAGTTATCATGCGCGATAGAGAGCACGCGTGTTCCACGCGATCGCATTTCGATTTCTCTGAATCGCGATTAGGAATCGCCAGCACCGATTAACTTGGCTTCAAAGACCTTTCACATTGTTCTTCCTCTCATCTCCTTAGATTTTACATTATAATTCAGCGAACAATCATTCGTTGTTGTATAAGAAAAGCGTTTTGTGATAACGATCAGTGATAACTTAGCATAAGTAGAGTCATCATTCTTAGAAATCAGTTGCTTCGTGACGAATTGATCACAGTGATATAGTGAGTGAGAAACAATGCAATTAGTTGAAAGCAGCTTAATCAGTAATCAAAAAGTCAATGATTATATGTCAACTACGTAACGACACGCCGCACTTTTTACTAATGAGAAAAGGAAAGCTGGATAAAGTCTGAGGGATCGAATATTACGATAACTTGTGAGCTCTGTTTAATCATGCTGAGGTCTTCCGAATGACACTTGATAGTGCGACAGCGCAGTGCTCCGAAGGAATCATCGAACGGGTTAACGCCCGCGAACATCATCGATATTATTAAATTTTCATGAGCGATCGAGGGTTACTATGCTGTGTTTCGAGAAACATCGAGATTCTCGCGAGATTCGTTCACGGCGGGGCCGCGCCGTCGTCCGACGAGGATGAACGAGGACGGAGGACTCTGAGGGACACGAGCACGGGAGGTGGAGGACCTCGCAGGCCGCATCACGAATGCATCGTCGCGCGGTGTAAACCGGTTTCTGCATTCGGTGCAACGACGTGCGACGGCGCCGCGCCGGTGAGTTTTAACGAAGAGCCCTTAGTCGGACGACGAAATGCTCGATCCGATTACTCTCGGCGAATTACGAGCGGCAGTGTCGAGAAGCGCGATTGAATTTCATCGTTCGTCCACTCGCTCGAAAATGTCGGCCGCTTCGAAAACCGATTTCAATCTTAGAGCGACTTGGAACTCTTTTATCTTCGTGCGCGCGATCGCGCATACATCATCGCGCACTGTAATTTGTTATCAATAAAAGTATCGCAAAATTGACGATAAGAGATTTATGAACGGCGGACTCGTAACGTCCCATAACTTCGGCGTTAGATCGAGCCGCGTGAAAAAAGCGAAAAATAAATGGCCAATTCGAGTTTCATAACTTCCGATCGATTACGCAAGACATATCTCTCGTCCCTAGAGACGATTTGCTTTCACTTTCACGGAGGGTCCGCTCCCGTCACCTCTATTCTGGAGAAAAGTAGAAGACGGATGTCGGCGGTTCCGCCCGTCGTTCGCTCCCTCGAGTGTTATTGCGATGAAGGAATTTAAACGGACATGGCGCGATGAGCTTTAAGCAAACCGAAGGAAGGTGATTCTTACGATATATTGATATGTTAGCCGAGTGAAAGCAACTGGTATACAAACTGCATCTAAATGGCAGAGGCAATTATGCATGAGGCGATCCTTTTGCAGCTTGGAGTGCAATTGTACCAACACTCGCCGCTGTTTGACCTATTAATGGCCAAATTCTTATTAATTTTTAAATATCAAAGCTGCGCGTTTTTCATGTTTTGATACAGAAATTAATAGATTATTTACCTAATGTGTTTAACCAGTATATTACTTGTAATGTAATAACTAAACCGATAATTTGATAATTATACATTATCCATTTAATTAACGATAAAATCTTGGGAATATTAAATTTAATTAAATGGGAGATGATATATCTATCTGTTATTAGTAAATGAATTAAAAAACATTTATCCATCTTCCATGATGCAAGCCAATATATTAATCACTCAGATATTAATCGCTGACAACGATAATCCAGTTATTTTATAATAGCATTATTTCCCATTGATCTGTATAGGATTGAACTTTGCCAAAATGTCGTTTCAATGCCGATCTTTGGATGAAAACAGCAATTACCGCCAAGTTATAAACCTTAATATTATGCATCGATTGCAAAGACCACAACCATAAGATTAGATTATGTAAATGTGTTGAGCGCGACCATCGAAGAATCATGATCGCAAGTGACAGGCAGAAATGAGATTTTCCTCGGTTTTCCTTGAAATTAGTTTTTTCATTACCCAACGTACATTGAATTATAAAAATTATTATGCACCGCACATTCTTCGATTTTTTTTTTCATACTTAATTAAATCTTTAATTAAATTCTTTCCGATTCTAAAAAGGAGAGTGTTTGGAGGATGTGGAAAGCAGTTACGCGCTTTAATATTTATTTTTTGTTTTTTTACAAAATTTTATGTCACGTAACGCTTTTCAAACTTTATAGTTATAAATCTTTCCTTTCCGCTTTCCCTGCCTCTCCTTTTCTCATAAATTTATGTCGTGTCGCTCTA